GCTTGAACGTCCCTTCCAACTCAGGCAATTCCATGATTCTCTGGAGCATCCTGCTGCAGGACCTCAGAATTCCCTAAAATCCAGCATCCCACTGCTCACCAGTGAAGGTTTCCATGGGGAATTCTGGGATATTTGGGGATCAGGGTGGGTTTGGAGGTACTGTGGTGAATTTTTGTAGGAATTTAATGGGCCTTTGGGCAGATTTGGAGGCATTTGGGGTGGCTTTTCATGGGCTTTGGAGCTATTTTGATAGGATTTTCAAGGATTTGGATGGATTTTGAGGGCATTTTGGGATATCTGGAGGGTATTTTGATGGGATTTGGGGGGTTTGGAGGATTTGGGAATGATTTGGGGGGTTGAGTGTATTTTGCATGTATTTCAGGTGGCTTTGATGGAATTCGGGAATTTTTGGAGGTGGTTTTGTGAGTTTGGGAATATTGGGGGGATTTGGGGAAAATCTGGGATATATCAGGAGATTTGAGGGTGTTTCAGATGCATTTCACATGTTTTGGGGGTATTTTGTTGCAATTTTGGGCCATTTTGATGGGACCTGGGGATATTCTGATTGAATTCTGGTGGTTCAGTGGGGAATTTTGAACACTTTGGGAATTCTGAAGCGAATTCCATGAATTTGGGGGAATTTTGATGGATTTCAGTGGTATTTTGAGTGCATTTTGATGGGATTTGGGTGGATTTTAGAGGTCTCTTGGGTGAATTTCAGTGGTATTTGGGGTATTTTATGTGGATTTTGGTAGTGTTTTGATGGAATTCTGGGGAAAATGTGTGGATTTGGGGAAACCTGGAATATTTTGTGCTATTTTGGGGTGATTTTGTCTGGGTTCATTTGCTCTGCTTCAAGAATGTTACAACAGCTCGTTCCTTCTCAAGGTATTTGGTTTTGAGATAAGAGGGGAGTGTCCAGAAACGCTCCCAGAACTTGAAATATTTTTCAGCAGACCCTTTTGGGGAGTTATGGCCTCGTTTCAACGTTTTCTGTCTGTCCTTGGGGAAAAATTGAGAGTGGATTTCCACACAGATGCCAGCCTGCATCTCCAGGGAGGTGCCAAGAACCCTCACAGGCTTCTTTTTTATTTTTGATTTTTATTCCACCACCCAGTTTAATTCCTAACAAGATTCACTACATAAATCTAAAGGTGTTTTTGCAACCCTTGTTTGAGGAGCAGTCAGAATTAATCTGAGGAGGAGAATCCAGTCTGTAGGCAGTAAATAAGTAGAGCCAGGCTCAGAAAAGCAGGGATTAAGCACAGTGTGTGAAGGGCTGTGCCCCCAGCTACTGTCATGTAGGAACTAGTAAAACAAGCCCAAGTGAGGATGGAGTGAGGCTGGATGAGCCACAGGTCACAGAACAAACACCAAGGTGTGGTTTTTACAGGAAGAGACAACAGCTGCAGGCAGAGCACCTGGAATCCTTCTACAAGGTGGGAAAAAGCAGCAAAGCCTTCAGAAAGCCCCAATTCCAACCATCATCACAAAACCACCCCAGTGTGACTGAGGAGATGGGATTGTTTCTGTAGGATTTAAATGGAAGGGGTTACCCCTGGGTGAACACTGTGGATGTTTCCTTGGGAGGCAGAGGAGAAGGCAGGATCAAAGGGCTCAGCTCTTCCCAGCACTCCTGCCTCCCACACAGGCCCAGCAGGGACACACTGCTGTGTTCCCACAGGAGCTCCCTCACCCCCTGACCCAGAGGAAAAGGGACAGGGACACACAGCCCGTGCCTGCCCAGCTGTCACACACTGCCCAGAGGTGCTCCCACCACTGCAGCACGGAATCATGGAGTTGTTAGGGTTGGAAAAGACCTCTAGGATCATCAACCCCCCCAATTTGGTCACCACCAAATTGTATCCTGAGGTGCCACATCCACCTGATTTAATTCTTCCAGGGATGGGGCCTCCACCACCTCCCTGGGCAGCCCCTTCCAAGGTCTGACCACCCTTTCCAGGAAGAAATTCCTCCTGATGTCCAACCTGACCCTCCCCTGGCACAGCCTGAGGCCGTTCCCTCTCCTCCTGTCCCTTGTTCCCTGGGAGCAGAGCCCGACCCCCCCCCGGCTCCCCCCTCCTGTCAGGGGGTTGTAGAGCCAGAAGGTCCCCCCTGAGCCTCCTTTTCTCCAGGCTGAGCCCCCCCAGCTCCCTCAGCTGCTCCTGCTGCTCCAGCCCCTTCCCAGCTCCCTTCCCTTCCCTGGACACCCTCCAGCATCTCCACTTCTCCCTCAAATCACTTATTTTCTCTGGGATTACAGGAGGCAGGAATGTGCTCACAGGGTGATCTGTCACTACAGGGACTTGTGTCACTGTCACATCAGTGCCTGTGCCACAGCACAGACCTGGAGCTACAGCTACATCCTGTAAATGAAGGAAAAAATTGAGGAGCCATTGGGAAGGCAAGGTGAGAAAAAAGGGAATGAGAAGCTCAGAGTACCTCTGTGAGGAGAGGAACCTCTGGGGAGAGGGAAGAGCACCCAGAGACTGCCAGAAAGCATCAGGTCTAGGAAAGCAGAAAAAGCTGATCCTGAACAAAGTGTCAATCCTGTTGCTCTGGCACTAAGTGGAGGTGGGTTCACTGGGGAGTGGCAGCTCCCTGCTCCTCATTTAAGAATCCAGCTCCACACTGATGTCACACACGTGGGATGGGCCAGCCAGGGGACTGTCACTGGGTAAAATGAGCTATTTCTATGCTGTGTAAATCCCTGGAGCTGCAGCCAGGCAGGGAAGCACATGGTGGCTCCTAGACCAGCTCACAGCAGGCACTCAGACAACAAGGCAGCTATTCATGTCGAGGAGCCCACATCCTGCCTCCAGGAAAGCTCCAAGTGTTATTATTCCAGCTCTGGCAAACATCTGAGCACTTTTGATGTCCTCCTTGAGAAGGGAGGAAGATGAAAGGGACAAGCAAGATTTAAAGGAAAGCTGTTAATACACCAAACCAAAGAAAAATAGGAACAAATTGAAGACAGTGACCCCCATATCCTGTAGTGTCAGCAGGGCAGGACTCCACTGGGAATGCCCATCCGGGTGGATGTGGAGTTATTTGTGCACCTCTTAGTGTAATTTTTCCCCACAACATTTAAATAACTTGAGTCTTTACCAGACAAATCACCATCCCTGCAAGAGGGAAGAGACTCAAGGCAGGAGAAGGGTTGTGGAATTGAGAACAGAGAAGCCCAGTGTCTGGGGTCTGGAAAGGTGAGAGGCACAGCCAGCCTGGATTCTGAGGGATGACTCAGTTCAATCCCATGATTCCAAGATCAGAACAGAAAGTAAACTACGAGGATTTTCTGCAATGACACTCACAGACATTCCACTCTGGAGTAGGAGCCTACACAGTGTGGAAGCAGAGGACATCTTGAGATGGAACCTGGCACAGGGTCTGTGACCAAGAGAGATCCTCTTCCCACCTCTGGATCAGCTCTCCAAGTGCTCCTGAGCAAACAGGAGCTGCACATTTGAGATCAAATCAACACTAACTGTGTTTGGTGCTCAAATCAGACTCCTCCACCTCTATTCAGTGTTTCCCCCAGAGGGTGGCTGGGCACTGAACAAGCTCCCCAGGGCAGTGGGCACGGCCCCAAACCCACCAGACCTCAAAAGGCTGTTTGGACAACGCTCTGAGGGACAGGGTGGGATTGCTGGGGTGTCTGTGCAGGGCCAGGAGCTGGACTTGATCATCCCTTCCAATTCAGAACATTCCATGCTTCTCCTGGCAGCATCTGCAGCCTCTCCCACCAGTATCAGCACTGGTGTAACCCCACAGTGAGCTGGGAGAACCCAGCCCTCAGGAGCTGGTTCTCACTGTGCCATCACTGACACCATCCTTGTCCCTCTCCTGGAAAGCCCAAAATCCATCACCTCTGCTTCCTGTCCCTCTCCAGGGACACAGAGGTCACAGAGCTGCAAAGAGGAAAACAGTAAAGAAAAAGGGCTTTGGAACTGTAAATAAACGTGGTACTGCAGTTGTGAAGGGGCTGATAAAAGTTTGATTATTTATTGAAGTCTAGAATTGGAATAAGTTGTGGTTGACCCATCCCTGGAAGTGTCCAAGGTCAGGCTGGACGGGGCTTGGAGCAACCTGGGATAGTAGAAGGTGTCCCTGCCCATGGCAGGGGGTGGAATGAGATGAGCTTTAAGGTCCCTTCAACCCAAACCAGTCTGGGATTCTATCAATAGTCTTTGCTGTATAAACCTGACTCCTAAAAGTTCTTGGTTTGGGTTCAGGCCTCCCCTGCATTTCATCCCAGTACACTCTGAGCCAAAGGTCAAACACTGCACATAAAAATACTCTTATCTCTTGCCATTTTCCCATGGATTTTCACCTTCTGGCTGGGTCAGGATACCCCCTGGAGCCAGAAACTGGGCACTGAGCTCGGATCAAAGGTGTGAGGGCAAAGGGAGGGAAAACAGGTTATTGGCAAGAACCACATTCAGGAAACTAAAGCAATTCCCACAGAGCCTCACAAAGACCAGGAGAAAAATAATAATCCTTTTCTCACTCCAAGAAATACCTTTGGGGGGCTGTGTGTTAAAGGCCTTGGGGGGCTGTGTGTTAAAGGTCTTTGGGGGGCTGTGTGTTAAAGGTCTTTGGGGGGCTGTGTGTTCCAGCACAGAACCAGCTTAAAGGCAGTTTAACAAAAATAGAGGGAGAGTTTAAGAGTGACTAAAAAGTCTGCAGAGGAGATTGCTGTGTTGCTACAGGATCTGCACAAATCTGAGCCACTTTCTCAGCCCAGAACTGGTTACTCAAACCCACGTTGCTGTAGTAACTCATAGAGCAAACTACTCATCCCACTTTTCCAGGTCACCTCATACCTTTTTCCTCTTTTTTGAAGTCTCCTCAGCCAGGCTGGTCTTACTGTCTCCTCCGTGTCCTGCTGCTGCCTCCTCCTCCTCCTCCTCTTCTGGGATGAGGCTGTACTTGGTCCCTCCAGGCTGCATGAAACACTCCTTGGCAAAATGACCTGTAAAATAAGGGTTTGAAGGAGCAACTCATCCCCTTTTCCTTTTGCATTTCACACACCTGAACTGCTGCTGAGGATCTTTTTACTGTGACTCACAAGAAGACAAGCTACACTGGACATTTTTTGTCCTAAAATTTCAGCTGGTTTAACGTGCCCTGACTAAACAGGCCAGATAAAACACAACCCAGGTCATTCTGGAGAAATTAGTCAGGCAAAAACTAAGATGTTCTTGTCTGAACAGGACAACTGTAGAAACATGTCTGTGCAGGGGCTTAAACAGCATAGAAAGGTGTCTGGGAAAGGTAAACTGGTGTGATTGGCACCTGGTAAATGAGCCAAAGCCACAAATGGAGGGGAAGGCAGCTCATTTTGATTCTACTCTGGAGATATCAAAGCTGACCTACTAATAGCTGAAGTGGAAACTCAGATAGCTGGCACCTGCCTGCTGTTAGGAGACAGCATCATTAAAACCAGACTGGGAACAGGTAGAATCCTACTTTTTCGGAGTTAAAATAGTATTTTATATATATATTCTTTAAAATAGTATTTTAAAGATACTTCTCTACCACTACAGAGCCCATACTCATTATTAACCTCCTCCAGAATAGCATAAACCCCATTCACCATTTGCTCCAAATAACATAAGGCAAGTAGGGCACAGCAAAAACTCCTGGACAAAAAACTACTTGATGCTTCAGCAACTTTCAAAAAGCTCCTGAAAGGTATCACACAAGTCAGGCTCCCAGTGCTGAACTGGGCAAGACACAGAGCTCAGCAGGTTAAAACCCCAGCCTGGTTTTAGCTCTAAGACACTGCCCCAAGCTAACAGTGCTCCACCAACAATGTGGGATTTCCATGGATCGTTGTTCAGGGTCAGATGATCTGCTGAAGGCCACGTTTGCTTCTTAAAATGCAAAATCAGGATGAGATCTCAGCTGTGAGGCACATTAACCAAACACTGCAAGCACTGAACTGTTCCCAGCAGGAATCACAGACTAGTTGGGGTTGGAAGGGCCCTCTGGAGATCACCCAGTCCATCCCCCTGCCCAGGAAGGGTCACCCAGAGCAGCTGACTCAGGGACAGTCCAGGTGGGTTTGGGATGTCTCCAGACAGGGAGACTCCACACCCTCCCTGGGCACCTGCTCCAGGCTCTGCCACCTCCATGGAAAGAAGTTCTTCCTCATGCTGAGGTGGAACTTGCTGTGTTTTAGTTTCTGCCTGTTGTTCCTTCTCCTGTCACTGGGTACCACTGAACAGAGCCTGGTACAACCTCTGACCCCCCTGAGAGGTATTTGTATGGATTGATATTTGTATGGATTGATAAGATCCCCTCTCAGCCTTCCCTTCTCCACACTAACCAGGCCCAGCTCCCTCAGTCTCTCCTCAGCAGAGATGCTCCAGTCCCTTAATCATCTTCGTGGCCTCTGCTGGACCCTCTCCAGCAGCCCAAAGGGGATGAGAATTTAAGAAATAAACTTTCATAAAAGGAGTTGAACTAAGTCTTTCATTTTTGTAACAAGAGACAGAAAATGCAGTTTTCAAATTCAGTCCTTACACACAACCATGTTAACAGGTTGCCCAGAGAAGCTGTGGCTGCCCCTGGATCCCTGGAAGTGTCCAAGGTCAGGTTGGAGCAACCTGGGCTGATGGGAGGTGTCCCTGCCCATGGCAAGGGGTGGAACAAATGAGTTTTTACAGCCCTTCCAACCCAAACCAGTCTGTGATTCTTCCCATGAGACAGACACTGATACAATCCTACCTGACTGGAACAAGGCTACACCAAAAGCTCCAGCCAGCCCTGCACAAACACACCTTTGCAGCCACACTTCTTGCACACAGTGTTCAGAACAGCCTCCAGGGTGATCTTCTGACTCGTGTAGTCCCTGAAGGAGCGTTTCTTCCTCTCATCCTGACTGGGAAGAGAAGGACAGTTCCATTTTCAATCCACCATCATCTTCCACCCCGTGTGTTTGTATGAACACAGCACAGCCAGAAGGTTTTTCAGAGGTTGCTCTACAGGCACAATTTAAGTAAACCAAAGAACAGAGATGACCCACAGCTCATTAGAACAAACCACATTGTTAACAGACTATTATGTGTCACCAGCTCCTTCTGAGATGAACTGAGCCCTCTCTGCACAAAGCAAAAACTCAGGGAGCTGCAGTTACATCCTTCATGTAAAATCTGTATTTTGGCTGTCACCACACATAAAGACAATTGCCCCACGTGGAAAAGAAAAGAACCACAGAATGGTTTGGGTTGGAAATCCACCCTGGCCTTGGACACTTCCAGGGATCCAGGGGCAGCCACAGCTTCTCTGGGCAACCTGGGCCAGGGCCTCCCCACCCTCACAGCCAACAATTCCTTCCCAGTATCCCATCTCTCCCTGCCCTCTGGCAGTGGGAAGCCATTCCCACCTGACCTGCTTTACTCTGCTCAGTGGATTTACCTACTCAAGGGCAACGTTGTTGGGATCGAGGTCTTTTCCCGTGCCTTGGTTAACAACCTTCATGGAGAGGGAGAGCTTCAGTTTGTCATCCTTCATCTGAAACAGAGACGTGGAATGAGCATAATTAATGACCATGATGTTAATTAATACACTTTGTCTGGTTAATTAATGGTCTGTAGTTCTGGAGGCCTACAGGGAAAGAGGGAAACTTGGGTGGCCAAAAGCAGCACCACCAAGGATGTGACACGAAAGGGCTTTGGTTCTGGTAATTTTTAGCTGTAATTAGCCCACTGTAGCTAATAAACCAACTACCTTAGGAACAAATAAAGGCTCAGGAATAACATAACTCACAACTACAGGTTGTTTGAGTTTAACATTCTGTTTTCAGTGTGACCAAAGCCCGGAGCTGTAGAAGGAAGTGCCTGTAGGAGAGCTTTGCTGTAATTCCCAAACCACCCACCCAAGACAGTTCCCCCTGGACGAGTCCTTGGGCCAACGTGCATCCTTAAAAATCCTTCAAAATCAAAGTTTATATTGTTTTTCCTATTTTAACCCTCTCATGAGACTAAAAATGTTTTCTGTGTCTCTATTAGGCACTATTCATTTCTGAATCCCCCAGCTCCTTGATCACTTTATCACTTTAGAAGCAAAAGCAAAAGTTGACATTTTGAGGTTTTTTTTTTCTTACAACCTTCTGCATTTTCCCCAATGCTGCTAATGAAACTACTCCTGTTTTGTTTATGTTTATTTGCAGGCAATCTAACAACCAAGTATTCCACTGTCTCCCTCTCCAACATGCTTCTCCCCTCTGCTTCCAGAGCAAAGAGGCCATGAACCCAACAACTGTGTTCTGGATAAAGAAAGCAGTGGCTTAATAGAAATTCAGACAAATAAAGTTTAAAATAATTAAAATAAGAAAGCACACCACAGGTGGCTAAAAAGAATCTGTGAAGTCCTTCATGTAGTTTTTATACAGTATGTAAGTAAAACCAAGTTTCTCAACCTGTTTCCCTTATCTCACACAAAATTCCGACCTTGTTTTGTACATCAACCTCACTGCCTCATTTCAGGGAAAAATAAAAGCATTTAAGGCTAGATCCTGTGCAACTTTGTGAGTCTTCCACCTTGAAAATAGTTAGTTTGCCTTGTTTCCATGGCTCAACAAAGCAAGAGTCTGGAGTTGGAGTTCTAAGGACTCTCTGAATGCAGATGACATGCCTTAATGTTACACCTTCTGCAGAAGAAAAGGGCAACATGGACTGCAGAGGGAAAGAAATGTATGAGCTCTTCTTTCAAAATGAACAAGTTGTTAGAGAGCACTCAAGGGAGGGTTATGAAGATGGTGAAGGGTCTGGAGGGGCCATGAGGAGCAGCTGAGGGCACTTGGTGTGTGCAGCTGGAGCAGAGCAGACTGAGGGCAGAGCTCAGCGGGGGCTGCAGCTCCTCCCGAGGGGCAGCTCCGATCTCTGCTCTGGGGGAGCAGGGACAGCACCCAGGGAACGGCTGGAGCTGTGTCAGGGCAGGCTCAGGTTGGATCTCAGGCAAAGGTTCTTCCCCCAGAGGCTGGTTGGGCACTGCCCAGGCTCCCCAGGGCAGTGGGCACAGCCCCAAGGCTGCCAGAGCTGCAGGAGGCTTTGGCTGATCCTCTGGGGCACAGGGGGTGACTCTTGGGGCTGGGCCTGTGCAGGGCTGAGGGTTGGACTCCATGAGCCTTGTGGTCCCTTCCAGCTCAGGATCCTAATTCTGTGAAATCCCTTTTCCTGACCTGCACTGTTGGAAGTCCCAGAAGGGATGTGCCCAAGGGCACAGCTGGAGGTGCAGAGAATTCACTTGGCTGTAAAACAGAGCCCAGCAAAGTGCCAGTAACACACAGCCCCTGGCACAGCTCCCACGACATTTAAGGACATTTGACCCCCACAGCACTAAAGAAGGAGAATTAAACTCACCTCTTTCCCAATCAGCTTCACCCAGACTTTGTCCCCAACATCCACAATCTCTGAGGGTTTATCCACACGGCAGGAGGACATGTGAGTCCTGTGCACAAGGCCTGCAAGGGCAGTTGGGGGAGAAAAATAAGGGGGAGAAAAATTTGGGGGAGAAAAACAGAGAGGAAAAAATAAGGACAAGTCTCCACTGAGCCTCAGATCTGCCTTCCAGGACAGCAGTCCCTAAAGTGGCCTGGAGAAGCCAATTCTATAGGGTGTGGGAAGAGCATATTTTTAATATTTTAACAAATAAAAAACCCCTAATAGTGCTTATTTCATCTTTAGCTCCTCCCTTTAATATTTAACAAATAAAATAAAATAAATGAACGATGCTTATCTCATCTTTAGCTCATGCTTTCAATATTTATTACATACAATTAAATAATTATTCTTAACATTTAGCTCATTCTTTTATTATTTTACAAATAAAGTAAATTAACAGTGCTTGTTTCACTTTTAGCTCTTTCTTTTTTAACATCTCTTTCTCAGCATGGTTTATAATGCACATACCATTAGTACAGCACTACATGCATATTCTTTATAAATAATTATACATCTATTGGGGAGGGTGCTCAAAACTTTTTTAACTGGTAAGTCTGGCTGATTTTAACTGGGAATTCCCAATGAAATCCACTTGGAGACACCGCTCTGGGAGACCTGGAACACATTCAGCAGCTCCCCTGAGCAAGAGGAACCTTTTCTTTCCTCCAGTACCTCCTGCAGGTCAGAAACAATGAGTTGCCTCCATCAAACAGGTAAAAGTTCATCAAGAGCTGCTCTAAATTATACAGAAAGAGGCCTCCAAAGCAATGTTTTTGTAGCTGAAACCACAGACACCCACATGGAAAACTGCAGTGGCCCTACAGTGACCAGGAACTTCAGGAGATATTTGGGGTTTGCAGGTCTCCCACAAACACAGATGAGCCTTTAAATCAGCTTCTCAGCCTTATTTTTTATTTGAGCTTCGTTTCAGTCTTTTTTGTTTCACCCATTTATGCTGGCCATCAAAGAAGTACAGTGGGCAAACTACCTTAACTGCAGAGAGTTTCTACAGTTTGTCCAATATCTTCAAATGATTCTTGAAGTTACCAAAAAGTCAGAGCAAAATATCCTGAAGTTACCAAAACCCCACACCACAATATCCTGAAATTACCAAAAACCGACAACAAAACACCCCAAGGTTACAAAAAAACCCTCTCAGTCTTTTTTGGTATTCTTGAAAACACCCATCTAAATACTTTCCAACTCCAATTTTTTTCTAATTTAGGGGGAAAAAGTCCTTTTCTAAGCTTTCTCTAAAAGCTGTTAATTCTTGGCTTGAAAACACCAGCATGAAACTGCATCCAAAGCAAATCAGAGGCACAAACCTTGTTTCCTGCAGCCTGGAATTTTGATAAATGCCCCATAATCTGTCACTGCAGCAACCTGTGAAGAAAATCCAACACAGCAGCTGAAGGAAAACTCTCCACAAAGCCCCATTTTCAAATCACAGGTCAGAAAATGCACAAGAAACCTACAATTTCAGGGTTCTAAAAGCCTTTAAAGTTTTATTTAAATGAATAATTATAATATATGCTATATTTACATATTATTGCATGTGTAATATATAATATACATTATAAATTATCAATTATACTTTATATAATATTAAATAAATTTATTTAAGTTATTAAAAAGCTTTTTTACATGAATCTTTAACCTCATCTCATTCCACCCCCTGCCATGGGCAGGAACACCTCCCACCAGCCCAGACTGCTCCAAACCCTGTCCAACCTGGCCTTGGACACTTCCAGGGATCCAGAGGCAGCCACAGCTTCTCTGGGAATTCCATCCCAGCCCCTCACCACCCTCACAGGAAACAATTCCTTCCCAATATCTCCCCCAAATCTCCCCTTTTCCAATTTGAAGCCATTCCCTGTGTCTGTCCCTCCATCCCTTGTCCCCAGTCCCTCTCCAGCTCTCCTGGAGCCCCTTTAGGCCCTGCAAGGGGCTCTCAGCTCTCCCTGGAGCCTTCTCTTCTCCAGGGGAACCCCCCCAGCTCTCCCAGCCTGGCTCCAGAGCAGAGGGGCTCCAGCCCTGGAGCATCTCCAGGGCCTCCTCTGGACTCTCTCCAGCAGCTCCACGTCCTTGTGCTGTTGTTCCCAGGGCTGGGGCAGCTCTGCAGGGGGGTCTGAATTCTGCAGAGGGACAGAATCCCCCCTCCTGTACCGCCGCACAAACACCCGCACACGAACACACCGCTCCACAAACACACAGGGGTGTGCGCGGCACAGAACCGCCAGCCACCCAAACCTCCTAACACAACACAACAGAGGCACAAAGAGAACTAAAACAACATAACAACGGCCCAAAGAGCGCGGCCCAGGCTGTGACACCGCCGCCCCCGGCCGCTCCCCGCACCTCGCCCTGGAAGATCGCGTAGAGCTCGGGTAGCGGCTCCATCGCCTCCGAAGGTCCCAGAAGCGCCAGATGGGTTCACCGCAGGCTATCGCATCTTCTCTCGGGACCGCTGAGAAAAGAGACATTGAATTAATGAATCAATCCCCTCAGAGAACCCTCAGAGAACCTTCCGTCCGCAGGCGCCCAGCGGCTCCAGGGAGGGGAGGGGGTGGTTGTACCCGAGCAGAGCCCGCGGTGCCGCGCTGAAGGACGGACGCGGCGCGGTGAGACAACACGGCGCTGCTCGAGGGTCGTGGGGCAGCCGTGGCCCCTCAGCGCCCGCGGCGCCAACATCGAACCTTCGCCATCCCCCTCAGCCGCCCCCACCCGCCACCGCCGACATGCTCCTCACCCTGAGAGACCGCTCAGTGCGCCAATGGCCGCGCGCGATGCTGCGTGGTGCTCAGCCTCAGCCAATCAGCGTTAGTTGTATAAGCAAGGGGCATGCCTTCCACCAATCAGGGCCAGGCGCGCCGGCGGACACCGCGCATCCCCTTCTAACCCCGCGCGCCGCAGAGAGGGCGGGACATCCAGCGGGACGGCGGGACATCCAGCTCCGTTTCGCCAATCAGCATGGCGGGCGCGGCGCTGCTAACCAATAGGAGGAGGGGGCGTGGTCTCGCTGCCCAATGGGGCGCGGGGGGCGTGGCTGCCCGGCCCCGCCATGATCGAGCAGCAGAAGCGGAAGGTGCCGGGTGGCCCTGGCCCCGCTCCGGCTCCCGCGCCGGGCCCGGCTCCTGCCCCCGCCGCGCCTGGAGCTGCCCCGGCTCCCGCCGCAGACCTCCCGCTCGTTCCCGTGCCCGCCAAGAGGCCCCGTCATGACGTGCCGGGCGCGCCGGGCACGGGCGGCGCCGGCGGGCAGCCCCCGGGCGGGGCGCTGCTGCAGGGGGTAATGGGGGGAGTGAGGGGCGAGGGGAGGGGAGGGTGAGGGGAAGATGAGGGGAGGGAGGGGAACC